CCAGTGCTGGGGGGGCCTCCATGCTGTGGCCGAGCTTCAGTGGCTTCCGGATCAACAAACTCTTGGCAGTGGTGTTGTGGGGGCCTCTCCCGAAGCTCTGGCCGAGGAAGGCTCACAACCAGCAACGTTACTTCTCCTGCAGCGAGCAGAAACCGCAGCTTTCAGCCCTGGCCTGACTTGTCTTTTTTCAGGACAGTGCCTGTTATCCATAATAGCTGCTAAGTTAGGGTGGCTGGCTGGCTTCAGAAGAAGTCTTTCCAGCCGACAAGCCGGGGGAATGAGAAAGCGTGTGACTACAGCAACAAGGGAAGGTATTTTTGCCCTGCAGTATCCTAATCCCATGACTACTCATTTCCTTCTGTGCAGCAGTGACAAGAACAGATGACGAGTGAAGTAGCTGAGGTGGGACAGCGCTTCAGCAATTCTCTCGTCTCATGAGTTTTCTTTTATAAAAGCTGAGTAGCATGCAAAGAAAACGGGGCACTAACTGGTATAACTCAGGATGATACAACCCCTCGGTCACAAAAGCTAAAGTAAAGAGCCAGCTGAAGATGATGGGGATGCTGCTTCTAGCCCTGCATGCTCAGCAGGCACTGCCTAAAGCGGCACTGAGACATGTGGTTTTGCAGGCATCCGCGTGGTCTACGATCTCTCCCGAGCTCCTGGAAGCAGAGTTGTGAGTTTAGAAGTGCTTTGCACAGCCTGCCGAGTCCCAGCCTACGTCCCGCTCCAGACGGATGAAATATACAATGTGACGCTTCCGTCCTACATGTTATTTGGAGGAGATGGCTATCACATGCTGAAAGACAAAAATCTGGGATACAGTAAAGGTAAGTATGGGCACCAACAGGGTAGCAGGCAAACAGCTCCCAGAAGTTAAAAGATCTTTCTACAGTACAAGTCTTAGACTTTTTGCTTTTACTGGATAGATTGTTTGCTTCTAGTCTGATGCTCTGGATTGCTAGATTTGGTTGTAGCCAGCAACAATATTCTTTTTCAGTTAAATCACAGAAGTTTCAAGGAGAAACCAAGCCTCACCAATTCAGCACTGCTTAGAGAGCAGTTCTGAGATCATGATAAACCAGAAAAAAAGCAAAACCCACACGTATTACGCTTATTGCCTTGCACTTGTACTCCTCGCTCAACAATGCATCAAAAAGAAAGGTCCCGTTTTCTTTAGAACTTAGATTTCCACTGTACAGAAGTATTTGCAAAGGCAGAATTGTCAGCTCTGCTACGACAGGACGCGCAGCTCAGGCAAGGAGCGCAGAGGGTGAGGGGAAAGGCTCCTGCCCCTCTGAAGGCGGTGGGGCCCGGCGAGGTCGGCGGGCAGCAGCGCGCCGGGGGCCCATGGACGCCCCGCAGAGAGCTGAGGGGGAGTCCCCTTGCTTTTTGGGGTCCAAAGCTGTGTGCGAACTCCCAGAAATTCAGCATTCGTACAACAGACGCGTACCTCTCCCAGGAAAAAGGGAAACTTGAAAAAAAAAAATTGAGATTAAAATTATTATTTCTGAAAACACAAAAACGACGCAGTGCTGTATTTAAAAAAAAAATAAGTATCTTCTAGGAGCACACCTACATTTTGCAGAACTTTGATTTCCTATGTTTTGCTTCTGGATGGTAAAAGCATGCTTTTACCAAAAAATTTTCCTTTCAGACCTTCATTACAGACTTTTTTTTTAGTTCTGCAGGGTGTTTCAACTTAAAATTGATTCTCACAGGTAGGACTGGTGTTTCAAATCAAATTCAGCCGACAGCTTGTAAATTTGGGGAGGCCGTGGTTTTCAGTAGATATCTGTATACACAGAAATAAATTCACACAGAGAGAAATCATTAGGAATAATGAACGGCAACAACTAGAAAGGTTCTGGTAAAGTCTTCCAGTACAGCAGAGGGGCAAAACTACCGTTACTTTTATAATTACTTTAGGATTGTAAGAGCTTGGATCAGAAGGGGCTCATGACAGGGCTGGCAGCAGTGGCTGAAGAGGGGTCTTCTGCTGCAGAAAACCCACATGTTCGCACAAAACCTTCATGTGCACATAGCAGCGCACAGACTAGAAATTCTTCCTTTAAGAAAAAGTAAAGTTAAATTTGAAAAGGTGTTAAGCGATAGCTTTGCCAGATCTATAGCACTCTACTCCAAACAGATGGGAGCAGCTCAAGCTACCTAAATCTGACTGGAAGTTACCATTGTAACAGGCATAAAACAAAACAAAAAAAGCCAGACAATGCAAAGAGAGAATTTTCTTTTTTTTTTTTTTTTAAATACGAGTTCCTACCAAAAATTCTAGCTACAAACCACCACAGAAGTTTTATCTGCACAGAAGAAACAACTCTCCACCCCCCTACACTGCCTTGACGTGCACCGATTCAGCGTGGCAACCCGGAGAGAACAGTTTGCTTTAAGGGTTGAGCTAAACCCGCAATTTTAGACAGGTTCTTCAATTGTGGTTAAGAGCCAGGCTGCCGCACAGAGCGCTATTTTGTTTCTTTCTTTGCTTGTTTAGGTGAACCTGATATTGAGGTTGTTTCCCGTTACCTGCAGAGAATGAAGAGAGTTTACCCAGCAGTGGAAGGTCGAATCAAGTTTTCTTCTGGAAGTCTTACCAAAGCAAGCCTCACCCTGATTTCTGTACTGTTCACTGTAACGTTCTTGCATTCGTGATTTTTGCTCACTGTGCTTTCGTTTGGAGGAAGGCGGGAGGAGAGATGGTGCTCTGAACTGTCCTCTTTGCTCACACCTTAAAATGAATGAGGGTTTAGGTTTCTGCACGTCGGCAGCGAACAGCACGGAGAGTCACGGAGGCCCACCGTGCAGACCGAGCGGGCAGAACTCATGACTTCTCTTCCTTTGAGTCAGCAGGTACCCGCAATTCAGTCTGAGGTTTCAAGAAGCACAGTTCCAGTGAACGTTAATGCTCCACCATGAAACCACCACTGACCGCAAAGAGATATTTTTAACTTGTCAAATTCTTTTAGCTGCTTTAGATAGCAAGTTAAGAATCCGATTCCAGTAATGTAAACAAGCTTCTAGAAATGGATTTATTATAGGTGTATATACCTTCCTTTGATCTCCACTCAGGGGTAAAGCTTTCAGTCTAATAATTCTGCTTTGCTTCCAGTCATATTTATCATACCTACACCAATGCCTGAAAGAGCGGGACGAAACTCAGTGTCATTAAAAGCATGAGGTCCATTTACATGTAATTAAAAAAAGTTTTTCCATTTTACTTTTGAAGATGCAGTATCTCACTTACGTCTTCCATTAATAAAGGATGCAATGAAACCTTGACTTGATTTTGATCAATTTTAACAAGCTGAGTATACATACTTCACTGTTTAGTATGACCAGTTTGGGAAATGTATCTAGAGCGAGAGCACTGTGATTATGTTTTATATAAATAGGCTCAATTTTGCACCTTTTTCCAAAGACCGAAGCACAGGACTCCTGGCCATTACTCTGTATCAGCAACATGCAGAGAACGTCTGGAGAAGAGGAGGCTTAGGGGGGCCATTACTGCTCTCTACAACTACCTGAAAGGAGGTTGTAGTGAGGTGGGTGTTGCTCTCTTCTCCCAGCTAACTAGTGACAGGACAAGGGGAAACAGCCTCAAGTTGCATCAGGGGAGGTTTAGACTGGGTATTAGGAAAAATTTCCTTACTGAAAGAGTGGTCAGGCATTGGAACAGGCTGCCCAGGGAGGTGGTGGAGTCACCATCCCTGGAGGTGTTCAAAAAATGTGTAGATGTGGCATTATGGGATATGGTTTAGTAGGAATGGTGGTGTTGGGTTGATGGTTGGACTCCATGATCTTAGAGGTCTTTTCCAACCTACAGTTCTATGATTCTATGAATGTCAGATGCATGCAGTGACTCCTGCAGCACCGTGGCATCATTTGGAAGTGGTCCGGTAATGGGGCTTTTTACAGCGTAACCTGGCTTTAGGAGAACTGTGGTCGTAACTCCCAAGGCTGTCTCTTCTAAGGGAAGGCTGTGTTCAAAAAGTACACAGTTATAAGAGATGAGCTAATGAGGACAAAATCAGAAATTAGACTAAATGCTCAGTGTACGTTTCTGACACTTCATCAAGAAGTGACTGCTTATGAATGAGTGCAAACAATGTTTATCTAGGATCATTCACATCTGGAATTCTGACGTGAATGCGTTTCCATGTTGTTTATTGCTGGATTAAACTGATTATCAGTGTTTTGAATAAACCTGCTTTGTCTTTCCGGAAAGCGCACTACACTCTTTTTCAGACCGAAGCTACTCACCTCTTAAACTCACTGCACCTGCAGCTTACAAGGAGAAGGTGCATGAAGACAAACATTCAGTGTGCTTAAATTGCAAGACCTCATTAGTTTCCACATAAATTCAAGGGTTGCGCATGAAGAGATCTGGACGACACAGCTGCACCGGGTAAGCTGTGTTAGAACAGGGAGAAAACACCTGACCTTGACATGCTACTGGTTATACCACGGCATTGATGACTTGTCAATACCAGTCCCTGAAGTTATTAATTTACAGACTGGTCTTCCCCAAATCAACATAAGACCAGCAACAGAGCGCACTCGTGGACCAAGCTGTACCTGCACGCCAATTTTTAAAGGGTTGTAACAACTCCTTTGGCACACCCAGAGAGAAATTTCCCAGAGAAGGGAAAGATGGGTTCCACGAATGGACATAGTCGAACGATCACTAAGGAGCTGGAGCACAAATGACTGCAGCACGTCCTTCTACCTTGCTCCTCAGAGCACCAGGCAGAGACTGGACACACTGAGCTGTCTTTGACCCCTGAAATGATCTCCCGTGCAGTTTCACAGACCAGCGCATTTCAAAGCTGCCCTCCTTTGCCCCTGCCTTCCACATCACGCTCAATGCCCAGCCCTTAGATATGATTAGATATTAGTACAAATATCTGAAGGGTGGGTGTCAGGAGGATGGGACCAAACTCTTTTCAGTAGTGCCCAGCGACAGGACAAGGGGCAACGGGCACAAACTGAAGCACAGGAAGTTCCAGCTGAACATGAGGAAGAACTTCTTCCCTCTGAGGGTGACGGAGCACTGGAACAGGCTGCCCAGGGAGGTTGTGGAGGCTACTTCTTTGGAGATCTCCCAGACCCAGGTTGTGGAGTCTCCTTCTCTGGAGATATCCAAGACCCGCCTGGACAAGGTCCTGGCCAGCCTGCTGTAGGTGACCCTGCTTCGGCAGGAGGGTTGGACTAGATGACCCACAGAGGTCCCTTCCAACCCCTACCATTCTGTGATTCTGTGAAATCTACTTTTGACAGGCAGAAGGTATGCGTAAGTAATACAGACAGATAACACAAACTGTATTGACAAAGAACACGAATACTGCAGTGGATGGGTATGTTTGTAAAAAAGGAGAAAATGGGTGTTGTCTGAAAAGAAAAATTAGAGGAATACCTATTAAAATATCTCTGTATTGTTCTGCAAGTAAAACTTGTTAAAAATCCACGCATGAAAGTCCTTTTCAAAGTCTCTTTTATAAAGGCTGGGCCAACAAACCAAGGTTTACAGGAAAAATCTTCCACACATTTTTATCCTAATAAATGCTTAGAAAGTGCTATGAACAGACTCACAACCTCTTTCCTAAGCCTGTAATAAGGATGCCAGGAAAAACCCGACAAACTCACATAAGAAATTGCAGAAAAATAAAAAGGCTAAGGTAAAAGTCAAAACCACTTTTCACACCCACTATTATTTTAAGAGTGCTTTAGACTTGAAGGCGAGATATTAAATACAAACCAAGCTACACACATGGTTTTCCATGCTCACGGAAAGCAAAAAGGCCAAAGATAGTTCTGAGATTATTTGTATGCAATAGATTCGATTATGCAATTTTGTTTTAAAAAATTTGTAAGATTTGTTAAGACAGTTAAAAATAACTTCATGGGAGCATTCTACAACTTCTTCCAAACAATTTTGCTGTGTGTCCTTTACGGAAGACAACAGCAATCGCTGTTTTAGCAAAACATACGTTGGCTGATCTCCTCGCTGTCTTATTTCATGTCATCCTGTAATTTCACACGCAGAGATTTTGGGGAAATTAGTTTGACTTTTACTGGTAACAGCTACAACATATTTAAAATAAAAAGCGCAGATATATTATATACTTGTAATTGGTATTAAATTTTAACATCTTTATTGCATAAAGAGATTTTTATAGAACTTAAATTTTATGTTATTTACAAGAAAATATACAATGCAAGGTTAAAATGTCCGTTACAGTTGTGCAGAGCGGGTGCTTCTGGTCAGTGTCCGGCAAGATCCCTGCATTCACATCCAACATGACACCGAGCCAGCTTCCTTTGGACCCTGTTAAACAGTAATGGAGAAAAAAAATTACTTACTAAGCTTGAAAATGCATATTTGCCTAAAGATGACTGAACGGAGCTGCCACGATTAATGGTATTTGAAAACATCCGCTTGAAACCAGAATTAAGAGAAAAGAAGGCTACTGCTTTCAGGTTTTTAATACTATTTCTCAAAATCGGTATTTTCTTCTTTCTCTGGCAGTTCTCACCTCCCACATCCCTCGCTGCTCAAACCAATTTTCTTAACACCGTAATTCCCTGCTCTGGCAATGGCACTGCCGTATTTTTTCAACTGGATTTCTTTCCTTCCTCTGCTAGGAACGCTTCTCCTCTCTCGGCTGCCCCTTCTCCTCGTACCCTGTCTGCCAGGCTTCCGAGGGACAGGCCGTACACCACATCAAAGGCAAAGCTCCTAACGGGAGTTCTTCAGCTCCCACCCTTGGCGCTTGTTGACTTACGCACGCTGCCGCTCAACACAGCGAACCTGAAGCGATCCAGCGTACGCCCGCGCTGGCACGTGCAGCAGGATAAACCTTCAGGTATCGGATCTCGAGAGTGGGAAGCAGACTGACATCCCCGCTAACGAAAATATTCCCGTTTCTCCCATCGCCGTTCCCCCTGCCGAAGGAGCAGTGCTCAAAACTCCCAGGATGCTCAGCTTTCCCTTTAAGCACTGACTGACCTGAAATATTTTCCTGTTCCTTACTGTAACTACAAACACATTTTGGTATCAAGCAACTCCAGCAGGACCAGTCTCTGCTGAACAGAGAGAACTGAGTAAGAACACCAGACATTACTTTTATACTTGGAGGAAACTGTTCTTTTCCCAAATGGCTTCACAGTCAGTTTGCAGTGATTCGGGGGAATTGTTCGGGGGTTTTTTGACTTATTTAGGGCTCCAGATGAAAAGCACTGCGCTCCGGCCATCCCCTCTCTGCCCTGCCTTTCCCTTCTCAGAGCGATCTCTCCTCAGCTGCCTGCCCCAGCCCACCGCAGCCCCAGCACGCTCACCACCAGCTCCCGCTGTCAAACATCACAGCAGCAGGACTTCGCTCTGCGTTACTCTCCGTACATCCAAAACATGAAAACAGCTGAAATTCCTAGTTAAGAGTTATTTTCTTTCCCTTTCCTCTACTGACACCTGGGCTAGCGAATTCCCTCGCTCTGTTCCCTTCAGCTTCTGCCACAGAGGACGGGGGGAGCCCAGCCCTCAGCTCCGCTGTCACACTCAGACCAACGGCAGCGTCAGAGAGGTCCCTCCTCAGCAGGCGGCTTGCGGAAACACCGCAGAGCAGCCAGGTGGTGTCACAGTTACACGGAACAGAAGG